ATGCCTGCTCACTTTATCGGTGTAATGTTGCAAATTAATAGCAAGTTTTGAGCGCCTTCAACTTTTGGAACCCACCGTGCGCTCTATCATCTCCAGGGAGTCGTAGTCGCGCGCGGAGCGAAACCAACTGCGTAAGTGAATTAAAATATTTATTAAGGAATTCACATACACGCCGCCCCATGGGATCCATGCTTAATTAGCCAAGTTACCATCTTAGTTACTCCCCTGAATAATTCAATTTTACATTCGGCTCGTCCACACCGCAGCCGTACAACTAAGACCCTCAAAGAAGAAAACTGAACAAACAAGTAGCAACTTGCTGGAACCAGGGTTTGTTCACTCCCGAGACTCACGAGTTTTGCAAATATATTTTATTTTAGTTCTGGTTGGAAGCGATTTTTTTACCCACCCAGAGAAGGGTTTCCGCATACCGGAAGACCGGACGCGCAACATTTTAATTACAACGCTGGTGTCAGGTCACATTTTCAACTGTCGCGTGGGTCCTATTAATATGATAATAAGAGGAATAATATTTCAGCTGTAATGCTCCGGTGCTGGAAATATAATTATTATACACCTAAAAACCGGTTTTGAATTTCTAACAGTTTGTGATAGTTATTTGCACATCAAACGTAACAAGTTGAGGGATGACATCAAAGGGGTGAAAATACTTGTTAGAACTTTGACGCGTGCATTGTTACGCTCAGCCCCGTTGTGTTTACATCCTTATCGGGACGTGTCCTTAAAGAGGCCCTCGCCGCCGCATGATAAATCGTAGGTAGTCGGCGACACTCCACCGCTGACCGCCCGCCTCGTCCATCAACGTCTTGGGGCCGCGTGGCCGGCGGGCGACGCAAAAAAGCAAAACACGATAATTCATTATAAGCAGGTCTATCTCGCAGAAAGTGAATCCCTCTCTGCGGAGTGTAAAGTAATCGGGCGTACATGATGGGGTGGACTAAATCGATATCTACGCAGTTTTCGGAAGTGCGCTCGTAAATTTCGGCATTTTCAACGGCAGTATATTACCGATTTCTGGCGATGTGGTGTAAACATGATCTATGCGTGCAAGGAAAAAAATTTGGTGTAAATTTCTGACATTGATGTCCAAAAAGCTTTACGTGAATTTAAAAGCAACTTGATTTACTGATTGGGAAATAGCATCTAAAGCTTGGCGCTCTAAAAGAGGAACTTCGACGAAGGGCCTTATCCTGTCGAAAGTTTTAAGCGTCCCCTTAACTAGCGATTGCGTTGCGCCATGAATGAAAAGCGGCCGATTGAACGGCCGGATAACTCCCCGAGACGCTGTGCGTTGATTTTAAATTGATAAAATTGACTTTGGTTACCCCTCGACATCAGACACAGAAAAAACTGTGAAAAGAATCAGCTAACAAGGGAAATATCAAGATTGAGTGTTGACAAATTTTTTCGCTAATTTTCCACCAAATTATAAAATTTTTAAAAAATTAGAAAATGAAACATCTTGTTTTATATAAGTATAGGAACACTTGGCGTGTTACTTAAATATTGATTTTTCGTTGAAAACTTTCATTTCCCTATAAAGCGCTTCCAAGGAGAAGAAAAAAACACAGAGTATAAAATGACTTTTAGGCATCGTCTTCTCACAAGCCTTGCTGGGGGAGTAAAACGCGAACAGCTTTCCGTCCAATTTTCCAAAGTACATCGAATGCATGTTTACAAGTTTTAAGTTTGAGCCTCAAACTTCGAAATGTTCATTTTTATCGCCACATCACCGATAATAGTGTAATTAATTATGTGATGCAAGTTAACGCTCAATTTCTGTCAGTCGGCTGTCAGTATTTGCTGGAAAAACTAATAATAAAGCATGGCTAACGCAAACCCATCCGTGAAGCATATAATAAAAGCTTTTTCCTAATACGAAGACAATGCGATGTGCTTGGATGGTCGTTGTGCTGGAATGGAAAAAATTCAACGGACAGCACGACGCTATTTGCGGAACGAACAAAAATGAAATTGGGACATATTTGGTCGAGGGCCATAATCGCCACCACGCTCGCGCTCCTTCCAAAACTTAATGTTCCATATTTGAACAATATGTGCGGAGTGGCTACTTTATGGACCATCGCCATTAAGTTGGCGCGTCTCGAAAGGGCCACGCAGAGTGGGCGACGCTCGTATTCGCAATGAATCAGGGAACTGCTGTCGGGGAGACAAGAAAGTCTTTTTGTATCGAAGACGACTTTTTTCCCAGGACTCCACCAAGCGCGACCAAGCGAGAATTTCAGTTTTCAAAATATTAACAAGAAAAACGCAGCAAACCTAGGTTTAATTCTGCGCGCGGCGAGTTATTTTTATACTTTTAGTGGCAGTTTGCGATAATGAAATTCTTTGAAAATTAATTTTGTGAAACATTTATGAGCCTTGCAATATAACGACGACAACACACGATAAAGCAAAGAAAAAGTGCTCGTTGATGATAATAAATGACTATATTATGCGGCAAAAATGTTTATTCTTTTTATCTGCTCTAAAGGGGGTGCCCACCCTTTCATGCCGGAGGGATGTTTCTATAGAACAATGGATTGAAAGAATGCCACACGAAGAAAATCCATTGTCTGCTTACAATGTTAATAAAACCTAATTCTTATTATTAAAAAATTCATTCAGTAGTTGCTACAAATTGTTACAAAAATATGAATCTACTTGTTTGGTCAGTCATTTCTTCAGTGTATAATAAAATGATTAAAGATCACCGCGGAGATGGCCATTAATTATATTAACGTGTGAGTAATTTGCTTCCGGGGGTGGCGGTGGTAACGTCACGGTCCATTATGCAGTGTAACATCACACTTTCCGGTTTGTCGCTTTTAGTGTCATATTTAGACTAAAAATATATTAAAAAATTATTTTCACTTTTAAAACACGTTTTTTAGGGGTTTCAAACACAAAAAGTGATAATTTAGATACGGGTGGCAAAAGTTGTGTGTAAAATACTTTAGTCACGGGGTTTAGTCACGGGACGGAGCTTGCGCATGCGCATTTGCCTACGGTGCAGCACAAAACCATATAAAACGATGTTAAACACTTGATTGATTAAATGCTCGCTGCGCTCGTTCATAATCAATCCCGTGACTAAAACTCCCGTTTACCCACTTGATACTTAATGAATTTTCAAATTCATGCAATAAAATAAGAAATAAATAGCTGTAATTGTTTCTGAAATTATTTTTTGTGCAACGTCAAGTGTCAGTGGGGAAAAACTCAATGAATTTCATATCCACTTAACATAATCGCGCGCAGGAGCAAAACGGGCGACCCTAAGGGAAATCAAGCGACTGTGTGCGCCGCGAAGAAGTTGCACACTGCCGGCGGCGTTGGCTGCGCGGATGAGGAAGACGTCGTCGGAAACTGGTGCCAAGTGAGGCCAGGCAACGAGGGATTGCATCAAGCTGCCGACGTAGAAGATAAAAAAAAATCTGTAAGCCATACGTTGCACGTCGCCTACTTTAGAAAACTTCATTTATCACTTTTAACTATCTGATTGGCACTGTTTTCAACTCAAAAAAAAAAAAACAGAATGTGACTGTGTGTTCAAAATAATATTTTTCATATTATCCTCGAATTCTGCGGTATTGTTATGCTTGTGATGCAATTGAGCGTCAGGCAATTTTCTCCGTCGTCGCGCGCGCCCATCTGTTTGTTCAGGCCCGGTGCAATCGACAGCTGCTGACCAAGGACCAAGGACCGCCGACCGCCGCTGTCGTGCGGTCTCGCCACCAAAACCAGAGAAGAGGCGAGTCTTTTGCACCTCGCACGTCCGCGCCGTTTTTCGTTTTTCCTCCCGCTTAGCGTCGTATTGATAGATCGTCACCCGAACCCCTCAACCAGGCCCAACACACATGGTGCACTATTTGTATAGGCGGCCGCTAAGCCCCAACGAGTCGCCAAGATAGTCCCGGTTTGTTTCTTCTGCATGGCCAGGCGCGTTGAATGTTTGTTCAAGAGGCCAGCTATTTCGGGTTTTCCTCTGGACTAGTGGGCTTAATCTGCTTTTTGTTTATTCATTCTGTTTGTCCATCGCCTTCCGGTTGCCTATTTATACACAACAAAATGAATTATAATATTTCACTCCTCTTGTAATTGCTTTAATACGCATCTAATAATAAACTTGGTAACGCTCATTTTCCTCTTCATTACATTGCGACAAAGTGGTTTCTCATGACCCGCTAGTCACATTCCGCGGCAACTTCTTTATAAGGTGCATAAATCACGTCGGCGATGTGCCACGACGAAAAACGTGCGCTTTCATTCCACGTACCTCCCCACCACCACTCCTGCTATTCCCCCATAAGAATGGTAAGCTTGCTTTTAGCCAGAGTCGGCATGCACGTGCACTAAGGACCGAGGAATGAAAATTCCGTCGGAAATCTAAATAGACTTGCTGCGAGTGGCAGCTGCTCCACGTAGAGTTAGTTGTGTGGTGGGAACCCATCGAGAAAGGATTCGTTTATACCTGGATTTGGAAAAGAACGCCCGTTGAGGTAAATTGATTGCAATTGGCGCGACAGTAATGCCGACAACTCGTTGGAGCAGCTCACGCCACGGAGATTTCCTACTGATCAAGCTTGGGCTTACAGAGAGTTGCAGTTGGAAGCGGAATGAAGGTCCCAGGAGGGTATTGAGAATTCCTAATAGAATTGCTTACTACTTTTCAATTGAAAGAAACAAATCATTGGTTTTAAAAATTTTTGCTTTGAAAAATTTTTAGTGGGAAAGAATGCGGGTGTGCAGGGCCGGCGTTGGCGCTGTAGTGTAGTGTATGTATAGTGTATATTTCATTGATTGCGCTGGCGTTGGGCTTCAGGGAGCCTGCGACACGCCCGCCGCGGCGCTCATCCTGGCGGAGCGCGCGTTGCCTGCTGCCTCCGGCCTCCGCCGTCCGAGCTGTTCTGTAGCTGCTTATTTATCGTGCGGCTGCGAACTGAATCGCGCCGTATAGTCCCCTATTTCGCTCGTACCTGCGACAATAGCGCAACCACCACCGCGGGTGCACTTCTCACTACCGCTCCTACGCACTTCCTCGACGCATCGCAGAAAATAACAACAGAAGAAGACAAGAAAAAAAAGTTGCGAAACTTTTCGTCGGTCGCGATACCACGCGGGGGGGTTAGCAACTTCCGGGCCGGTTTGTTTGTTTGTGCGAGCCTGCGCGCGTGTGCCCCACGTGACATGCGAGCAACACAGTGATCGTGACGCGCCACATCGTACACACCAGCGCCCAACGGCCCAACAAAACACAACTGCTTCAAAATAGTGCTCTAGTGATTTAAAGTGACATGCTAACTGAACTGTGAATTCTAAATTTTCAACTTTCGAAGGGTTTCATTCACGCTACAAAGAGTAGCGTGTTGGTTTCTTCTTGCAAGGATTTCAAGCAGTTGCCTTGGCTTCATCACCGGTCCTCGTGGGCTACAGCCTTGTTGGCGTGTACCCGTGCGCGGTGTGGAAACCGCGACGCGCTTCCAGCCCTTCGGCGACCGCCTCAAACCCACAACAACAACAACAATCTGTTCAAACGCAAGCACCTGGACCTGCTCCGGGACCTATCCGAACCACACGTCAACAACAACAAGAAAGAAACCAAGTTAGAACCCAGCCGTATCCTACAACGGCGACTTTCATCAACCAACCACCTCCACCATCAGCCCAGGTCAACCAGCTGCAGCAGCATCGTGTCGTCCTTCAACATCCACAACAACAACAACACCACTGCACGCCGACGCCGATTTTTGCTGCACCACCCGCGCTCGCTGTGCAACAAACAACGCTCGCTAATCAGTTGCCACCCGCCCGGCCTGCAGCCGCGTCGTGTAGCTGTCGCGATTCCAACGCAAACATTGAACAAGTATCGCAAGTGACCGCCAATCCTGCTCCAATGTTGTTCGTGCCCTTTTCGGTGCCCAGCTTTGCACCGTCGATGACCGGCAATAATCTACACGTCAACAATTGCAGTCCGTCAAAGGTACTTGAAAATTTATTCACGTAATTTGCTCACTTGAACCCTCAGATCCTATTCAATTTTTGATGAGTCCATTAAAAAAAGCGTCGTCAAGTGGAAAATTTGTACACCATCCGAATCATAGATATTCAAATTTCTGCTTGAGAATTCCAAAGCGCTGGGATTCATTTGACGGACGAAACGCAGAAGCAAGAGGGGCTCGCCTTCAGGGCATGACTATTATTTAAAAACGAACGCGAGTTTTTTAATTTGCATTTATATGACTGCAATCCGCAGCGAGGCGCGTTTGTCTACCGCTATCCAACCAGGGGGTTCTCCGATATGATCCGGAAAATTCCATTTTCTTTTTTGGTCTGCCAGTTTTGTTTTAGTTTCTCACTCACAAAAAAAAAATTCAACCAAAAATTTTTTTTTCGAAAAATTCACAAAAATCATACCAGTTTTAGCTGTACGTAGGTATATTTGCACGAGATTGGTTTGGGAAATGTAACGAAACGAATCGGTGCGCCGCAATAAATGACATTGGAAAAATGATAAAAGGAAACAAAACCGGAGCGCAACCGAAACAAAACTGTTCATTTAACACGTCGACATCAATGGTGCAAACCTTGCAAAACCGCACAAAAAAAAAAGCGCTCCGGGGATGAAATATCGCTCTCGATATATACATTTCACCCGCGAGGCTTTGATTGCTCTCTCTGTGTGGGTGGTGCGTGAATGTTCACCGCAAAATAATTAAAGCAAATTCATTGATATTTATGCATCCATAAAAATCATTATTTTCTCACTCCCTTGCAATTCCCAAACACTAATTGCAATCCACACTGACAACGCGCAACATTAAAACAAAAATATGCCTAGGGTGGGCCACCGCAAGCCAAAGTCAACTGTGTATCCCCAGTTAGATTGCTTCTGGAGGCGTGGAAGAAATATGTTCACTCGGTTGGAATTCACTCGCGCCTTTTACACTTCACGCCTTTGAATTATCTTTTTTCGGGTGCAATATTGCAAATTTCTTGTTTTTGAATGTTTGTGTTTACAACAGTGCAATTATCTAGTGTTTAGTAGGGAAAGTTTAGCGTGTACATTGGAATCACGCCAGGGTCGTGCTCAAACTTATACATATTTAACTAACGCGGGCTTTATTTTAATGAAAGGGCCTCAATGAATACACAATTCCTGTGTGTTGCTGCTCGGCGGATATGCTGCCCGGAGGCTTATCTGCCTCAATTCGCATCGATGAAACGGTCGGGCGAGCGTTATAATAACGATACTACGACCAGGGCGGGTGGTGGACAATCACCACGTTTATCGCTTTTTGTTGCCCGATGGTCACTTTTATTGCAAATAAGGCGGTAGTCTATTGCAAATGGAAATTTAGTCAGAATTTATTACAAAAATTTTATATTACTGCATCGGAATAGAGATCTCATACTGATGATAGTTTAAAAGTGAGGTTAGAATTTTATGAAGTGCAAAAGTTATGAGATTCGCAACTAACGAGACTTTATTGGCTTTTAAGGCCGTTGCGTAATTAAAACGCAAAGGGTTCACGCTAGAAGATTGGACAATTCAGAATGTTAAAATGTCTGCAACCCCCCATAGACATCTGGAGCTTGAGGCGTTCGGCAGGAAGCAGCATCCAAAAATGATTTCTCGTTAAAACCCTTGCGCAGTTTTGTTTCTCCACGCTTTAAATATTTAAGAAACGCCGAGATTTCAATCTATACAAGAATAATCCCGTTTGTTAAGTCATCACTCATTTGCGAGGCGTAAAGATGCCAGAAAGAGGGTTGCCAAGACCGAAAACCAACGCGCTTCAATGATTAATAGACGTCCTAATCAAGCGGTTCAGTGATTTTCATTAAAGTCTCTTTTTCTTGATGAGTATTTGTCTAGGAAAAGTTGCAAATATTAAAACTTTCAAATTCTCAACTTGATGGTGCTGATGGGTAACGGTGAAAAGGTTGAACACCACCGACCACTTAACTTAATTGTGGTTACCCTTGCTCTATATTACTAGATGTGATGGAAGTCTACACGTGAGCCGTAATCTGATTAATGGCATAAAGTAATAATTTCCGACCGAGTCGACACCCCACGCTGTTTCCGGTCCTTTGCTGCTCCGCTGGTGCATATTTGCGCAGTCTAACACTTGAAACCCCTTTAGTAGTGGGATTCTAGACGTTAGGAGTTTGGGTTCCACAGCAGCTTGACCGTGACGTGAGGAGATGCCTTTTTAATCTGCAGCTAGGTAGAAAGCTGGGAGTTAATCCCGTTTCTGGCAACAGCGGCCGCCATCACCAGTTACCTCTCGCCCTCACTGTTCCCAATTAGTCAAGATTCAAATCAGTTAATTTCGCCCGCGCAAGAAGTGCCACCGCCGCTTTCGCACTCTTGCATAGTTCATGAACCAGCTGGGAGGGGCCGGGAGGTGCAGAAAACGAAACGAAGCGAAATAAGCGCCTCGGAGTGTGTTTGCTCATCTGTGGAGGTAGGTAGGTGGGGGGGAGACCGGAAAACCACAATGGCAGCGAATTTAACAATGGCGCGGTTAGACAAGAAAACCACCTTTGTGTTTGCAGCGTCCATGTTCCCGGTCCAGACCTGGTGTTTGTTTTAGTAATATCACCTTTGGGGTAGTTGTATAGTAGACTATAAACTATGGTCCAGGCGAATGATGTAAAGGCCCCTGATCGACGTCAAGTGCGCCTGGCTGCCATTTAATTATTAACTAAATGTGCTTGTAATTCACCTTTCTAGATGAGTGAGAGGGACGACGTCGATAACAAGCCAACGAGTCCTTTGAATCCTTTTTGTCCTTGGACACTCACTCGTTGGAATGTATCGATCCAAGGTGTCAACTTGGGAATTTGCGCTTAACCCTTAACTCGAAACATTTAAAAAATACAAATGAACCCAACCTTATTATCGGGGCTCGTAAATCCACCCGCTCTTGACTCCGCTCTCTTGACACGAGCTAATATTTTATGGAGTGCATTGTGTTTCATTAATAACTAATATTCGGGACGAGTGCTGGGACCCACCACTTGCGGAGCGGAACGGCTGGTCGTAACGCCGGCGGTGCCGCAGTAATCGGGCGGCAACGACGCTTGCCGGGGGTGGCATACAGCTGAAACTCTAAAGACTGCGCGGCGGTCGCTTCGGTTTTATGATCGCCATATGCCCTGCTCGCTGGCTGACGTCTCTCCCTTGAATATTTCAATGTTTTCATTTGCAGTAAATTATGCGAACGATTGGTGGGGTACTTTGTATGTTCGCCACCCCCGCCCTTCTCACATGGCACTAGCACTACGTCCGGATATTTATATCTTTTAATGCAATATGGAAAACGGCATTCCCTGGGCCTGGTTTTCATATTTTCCTACGGGTGCATCAGCCCTATCTCATGCCTCATGGGAGGTGCGGTATGTCTCCTGCATATATTATAATTTTTATGGGGCCTGCTTATACTTTAGGAGATTTTTCTGGGAAAAACTGTCAAAATGTGATTTAATAAAATACGTTTTTTTTTGCTTTTGACATTGACTAGTAGGGAGTAATTCGACAATGTTGGCCAATTAACCACTGACAGAATGTACATTATTGCTAATTGGTTCGGCGAAAAGGAGACAAGCACCGCACGAATCGAAACACGCCAGCCAGCCGTGAGGGGGATGTTTAATTCAGGCAGCCGTTTGTCGAGGCCCAAAATATACGCTGCGCGCAAAATTTCCCCGGGGCCTGGTCTCATTAGTTTGATCTTCCGCGAGGCGCGTCGCGCACTGTTGATTTAAGATAGCCGCAATTTCGGCGCACCTCGATGCAACACTAATTGATCGACGAGCGTGCGACATGACGGCCGTGGCTTGTACTTGATCGTGTACCACGCACTCGACATGCATCCGAGTGGACCAAGCGCCTGGCTCCTATCAATTAGGCTCCGCCGAGCGTTAAGGAAACACACACCTCAACACTCGAACAATTTCGGCAATGCGAAATTGCTTTTAATCTACAATTTGCATGATCAAACAATGCGGGGGGAAGGCGGTAGGAGGGTGACAGTCTATCTGTGTTTACCCAGCTTGGTTTCACGACGGCGGCGGCGACCACCACCGCCACAGCCACCGGCGGTTATCGCGTACACACGCTATACATAATGGATACGCTGAAAAAACTCTCCGCCACACGCACGCACCCTCCAAAACCCCCGAAAACTTCAACTTCGATCTCACCACTGTGATACTGTCATACCTACACGCCAGAAACCGCCTAAAGGTCTTGTACAAGCGTTTAAACAGACAAAAAGCGCATTTAAGCGAAAAATTAATTTGTTTCCCTTTGGAGATGAGAGATATAGCATAAATTAATCATGGTTTGGGGAAAATTGCATTAAGGAGTGCATTTTTCATGAATGTCCCTGAACCTGAACTTCGGCGTATGAGGTTTATGTATTCAACAAAGTTGACTGAGTTTTAGGGGGTGGTTTTTGGTGCGCGCCGAGGTAGGTATATAATACCCGACAGGAGTTTTGAATGAAATGAATAAAACAGGGCTTGATTATTACCAACCACCCCTTTTGTTCCGTCGTATATGAATCATTCACGTTGGGGCTCGATCTAAATTTCATAACGGCTAAAATAACATGGAACGAACGAACACCTCTGAACGAAACGCTCGTGCAAACATGGCATTCCTGTCTGGGATCATAACCACATCATTTTAAACAAAAAAAATTACCAAATTCCAAAACTACAAGGTTTTATCATCAAAAAAACATTAAACTTTTATAATTTTTAAAATAATATAAAACCCGTGACTAAAGCCCGTGACTAAAGCCCGTGACTAAAACCCGTGACTAAAACCCGTGACTATAGCCCGTGAATAAAGTACTTTGATCACAGTTTTAGCCGTCCGTGTCTAAAATATCACTTTTTGTGTCTCAAAACCTTTTTTCTTCTGTTGTATGCAAACACAAGCACCCGGATGGTAATACAGAGCGC